ATTCCTATTCTAAGCTGCCCTGAATGTTCATTTTGAGCAAATTTCACACCAATAGAAACGTTGGGGTTAGGAAGGCACATATTATTATTTGTTTTGGATCCGGGGGGGGGGTAGCCCCTTTGCACATTTGTATTTTGTGCTTAACACAAACAGGATGGGATGTCATGATACAAACAACTGTAGGTCCTTCTTGGATTCCCCCAAACCAACTCTTCCTCCTTATCCCAGACTGGGCTGCCTCTGTACTAAATTGAAGGGAGGGGGAGTAGTTGCAATAGAGGAGAACTGTGTTTTCTGCCTGGGCTTCCCATCTAGGCAGTGTTTGTGAGAACACTGCAATAACAAAGTGCTCCATGCTCAAGAATGCAGCCAGAACAAAAGCAGCATCAATAGCGCAGGGGCTAGGGAATACTAAATAGTTGACAGGAATTTTCATATAAAAACTCTCTCTTCCTTGTCGTTCAGAGGTTTCAGGAAGCTCTCTGGCTTATCGTAAAGAGGCATACAGCTCAGACAGGGGCTGGGGAGGTGAAAGGTGATTTCCTGCCATTCTTCTGTGGAGCTGGGTTCCCATGGGCGGTCATGCCAGTTTCACTGTGGCTCAGTCCAAGCTGTCGTGCTCCAGGGTGACGAGGACTCCTACTGCTTTGGGGAATTGAGTTTTCATGGGGCAACAGCTGAGTTGGGACCTGTAGCTATGAATCGCTTCAATGGGCTCTGCAAAGTGTGCTCGGAGAGGCGTTATCGACAGGTGGGTGGAAACCCAGTTTCTGGAAATGTAAGAGTGTGGGGGTGGGGTGGGGGTGGTGGTTTGTTTGGAACTCAGTCTTACTGTGTTACCCCTTCACTCATTCTGCGTCCTGACTTCATCTTCTACACCTGCTTGGCAAATTTCTCTTTGACCTCAGCTCAGGGCAGTAGAGGAAGAAGGGGGAACTTGGGGCATAGGTTGGGGATCCTCCTAGGAAGCCAAGGGATTCAAAGGATCTCACTTCTTCTGTTCTCCTCTCCCTACTGTTAAGGTAACCTGTCTTATCTTGAAAATCCACATCTGATTCTAACAGTTGAGTAGGTTTTCCTTTTTAAAAACCACAATTTTATTCTCCTTTTTTTCCTGATCCTTTAAAGTTATTTTAAAATAATTTTTCATGAAGAGCAACTCCAGGTCTGAGAGTGACACAGGGCAGTATAGTGGAAAGAAAACTGAGCTTGGAGTGAGGACTGACCTGGTCTCAAATCCTGCCTCTGGCATTCCTAACTTGGTGACCCTGGACTTAACCACTGTAAGCCTCAGTTTCCTCATCTGCCAAGAGGCAGGAGATACTAATAATAGCTGTAGTTCTTACCTCACTGGGTTGTTGTGAGACTTTGTGGAAATAATGCTTTGCAAACTTTAAAGGCCTATGTAAATGACAGCTTTTATTATTAAGAAGAAAGGAGGAAGTTTAGGATAATAGGCTTTAGAATTAGAAGGGATTTTACTTCTGCCTTTGTCCGTTTTCCTCATTTTGCATATGGGGAAAGCTGAGGCCTAGAGAAATAAGGCAACTTAACCCTTGCCCAAGGTAGTAAGAAGGAGAGGCATCCTTTTCCCTCCTCCAACAGAATTGTTTTGGGATGGACCAAGATACTACAAGATTGTTGATGGACCTTGGAGCTTTTCTGACTGAGAGACAGCTCTTTAAATTCCAGGGTTAGAAGGCAGATATGACCTAGATAGACTCCTGAAATTAAGGGGATAGGTATTTGGATCTGGGCCGGGGGAAAGGAAGAGAAACAGAATGAAGTTTTTGTTTGTTTGTTTGTTCTTTTTTGGTAAAAAGAAGGCAGTGACAATATGAAAGCAAGGAGTATCTCTCTGAACCTAGGTAAAGCAACTTCTCCCTGAGGCAGCCTTGATTTGCTCCTCATGTTCTTTGACTCCTCTGTGACTTCTTTGGCAGGGGGCTAAACTGGTGACAGCACTTCCAGTTGTTGTGTATGGGCTCTGGGCTGGAGGGTGTCCATGGCCTTTAATGTAGCTTGTGCTTTTAGCATCTGAGCAGAAATTTAAAGCATAGTGCTCCCACCTCTTCTGCATCACCTCTTTGACCAATAGTTTTTGGCTTTTTGCTCTGTTTCCCACTCTCATTCACCCCCTTCTTCTGGCCCCTATCTTGGAGCTGTGTGAGTCAGCTGTTTGGACAATCAACACGGCTAGAAGTGTCTGTACTGTTGGGTGGCTATAGGGTATAGTGGGCACAATATTAGATCAGGAATTGATTTATTGTTTGGGGATTGGGGGCAGGAGTGAATCACAGAGATAGGGTGGGATGCTGGAACCAGGAAAACTTGGGCACACTTGAAGCTGGGAATGGGTATACCTGGTGAGTGCTCCAAAGCTGAGATCAGACATTGGCCTGGGAAGCCAAAGCAAGGAAACTAAATGGTAACAAACAAAACAAAATAGGAAACAGTAGAAATGAGGCATCATTGAGATCTTGAACTCAGTCATGAAGATGTTCACGTTTTCTGCTGGGGGTAGAAGTTTTGCCCAAGCCATGCTGTCCTGTAGGCAGTTCTATCATGACTCTTCCTGTGGTCTTGGGCCAGGCCATTTACCTTTTTGGGCCTTAGTTTTGGATTCTATGATCTTAAATATTCTTTCCATCTCTGGATCTAGAGTCTGTTGGTGGGAGTAGCTAAATCCCATTAGGGAGATGGTAAGTACATTAAGATGGTTGGAATGTGGTGTGAGAGATAAGGTCTCTTATCTCTCTGTATCTCACTTTGCCCATCTGCAAAATATGAATGAATAATAGATATAAATGTGCTTAGAAACCAAACTACTATATGAGTATTAATATAAATATATCATTATTTTTTACTTGGGAATTTTTAATGATCAGTATTCCCTAGACACTGAAAATAATTCTTTTGGATTTTAACATTTTCAGGATACAGCAAGAGAAACATAATAAGACCTAATGCCTTCTGCTTGTACCTTTATAGCTTAATGTATGGTAGAATAGAGTACTACTGTTATTAGACTCTGCTGCTGGTGTGCAGATCCTAGTGAAAACCAATTGACTCCTGCCTTTTTTTTTCTTCCACTCCCCTCATCCCTATCAATATCAGGATGTGTTTGTCCTCTGGTGCAGTGCATAGCTTCCGGAATCTACTGGGGCTAGCCTTTGGAGCTTGGACATGGGCAATGTCTGGTGTGTGTATGTGTGTGTGTGTTCTTTGCTGAAGTTTGTTTTTCTTTTTCTTTCCTTTTTTTTTTCTTCCTGCCTTGGCTTTGTATTTTCCCAGAATTCTTATGGGACTATGGTTCCCCATCGTACCACCCCTCCCTTCTTGTCTGTCAGATTTCCTGTTTTATAAACTTGCTTTGAATTGAGTTCCAGGGATGGTAGGAAACAGAACCTCCTGAGCTGCTGCAGCAGGGCCAATCAGTGAACTTCCCCACAGGTCTTGGGAACTCAGGGCAGCTAGTTTCTTTGAGATGTCCTGATCTAGTCTGGCCCTTGCAGTAGTCTCTGTGCAAATGCAAAACTTTCACCCAGGGTAAAGATCAACATTTTCTTTGTGTGACTCTGCCTCACATTTAAGGCCCTCCACAATTTGGCCCCTAGCCAACTTCACCTCTAACATACACCTTATGCTTCAGGCAGGCCAGTTTTCTCAACTTGCCTAGAATGCTCTAACCAGTTCTTCTGTGTCTGTCTGGAACCAACCCATTTTACTTCTCTACTTTTCTTTGTTTTTTACTTCTCTGCTTCTTTATGGAGCCTTCCCTAACCTCCAGTCTGTGCTGATTTTTCCTTTCGTTTAATTTCAATAGGTTGTGTTGGTATTGCTCACTTGGCATTTAATGCTATACATTAATTCTATAATTGCTATTTAACCATTTGTGTGTGACATCAAGTAAACATTTATTAAATGACTGCTAGGTGCCAGGCACTGTGCTAAGTGCTTCGGTTACTAGTATGAAAAAGAAAAACAGACCCTGCTCTAGAGGAGCTTGCAGTCTATTGGGGGAGACCACATGTAAAAGGAAGCTGAAAGGAGACGGCACTTGGCTCAGCACCCTGAGAAGAATAGAAAATGACTGGCTGTGGCCAGGGCCACCCTCTGTTCATGGGGCTCTTCCCTCCAACAAGGAGCAGAGGGCACTGACGAGACGTGGGTGCTGAGGCTGGGAAGTTCCTGATGATTGATGAGATTGTGGAGGGCTGTAGGGAGAAATGTAGTACAACTGGGTGGTAAATGAAAGAAGTTAGTGTGTGTATGTGTGCCCCTGTGTGTGTGTGTGTGTGTGTATTTTGTTTCCACAGCTAGGTTTTAAGCTTTCTGAGACCAAGAACTGTATCTACTTCTTTTATATCTCCTAGCATAGGGGCAGGCACATAAAGGGGTGTTCAATAAAGATTTTTTGTATTGGCTCCCTTTGTGTATTGACACATGCTTTCTTGTTGGTGAGGGCTTCTTGTAAGGGATGCCATTTAAGTCTTTGTTAGCGTTTTGAGCCCCAGTCCATGCCTGGGGTTTCTGGGTGGGGAGGCAGAGTTAAGGAGGTTAGCTCCTTCACTCTGTCAAAGAACCTGGGTTATGGAAAGAGGATGGGAGGGGCAGGATATGTTACAGGTAGGGAGGGATAGTTGGTCTACTAGCTTTGTCCTGCCAACCAAATTGTGGTTCTCTTGACCCGTAAACCATGTTCAGAAGTGTTAGCCAAGTGCTACAATTCATCAGCCTGGAGAATTTACTAATTGCTTTGTACAACTTGTAGGAATACTGGGAGATCACATAGGCTGAGAGCTGGTTGGCAAATTGAGTTCTCCCTGACATTGTACAACTTTGTCTGGCATTCAAGACCCTTTCTCTGTAAAGCTGGGGCTGCTCTTTAGCTTGTCTAGGGGTTGTAAGCTCCTTGATCCCCTTTCCCCAGGGAATGAAATTAAGGGAGCCTTCTGTTAAGGCTTCTGGCAATAACTGGCTGTGGGCATATGTTGTAGATCACCATCCCAAGGGGAAGGGACGGCTTTGGTTTCACCATCTGCTGTGACTCTCCAGTTCGAGTTCAAGCAGTAGATTCTGGTAAGTAAATGATTGATTCTGATGCAGCTTTTTGGTTCTAAGTTTTCAGGTCCAAGCTTTCTCTTCCACAGATTTGTTGCCTTGTGTAGATTGCAGATAGGGACTTGAATAGTGAAACAAAAACTAAAACATTGTACTGATTTTTAAAACCCTGAACCAAACATTAACTAAAAAAAGAACTGCACACAAAGCTGAAAACTTTTTTCTTAGAAAAAAATCAGTAACCAATTTGAACTAAAACTCAACATATTTAGTTTATAAAAAATATTCTCAGGGGCAGCTAGGTGGTGCAATAGATAGAGCTCCGGCCTTGGAGTCAGGACCTGAGTTCAAATCAAATCTGGCCTCAGACACATGACACTTACTAACTGTGTGACCCTGGGCAAGTCACTTGATTCTGATTGCCTCACCAAAAAGCAAAACAAACAAACAAATAAATAAATAAACATTCTCAGAATTTAACATCATCAAAATTCAATTTGTTTACAACCTCTAATGAACACAGAGATGAATGGATGAATTAGAGGATGTTAGAGCTTGAAGGTACTTCAGTGACCATCTAGCTTAGCATCTTCATTTTATAACAGAGGAAAACAAGGCCCAGAGAGGTTAAATAACTTGCCTGGGATTCCACAGCAAGTTGTTGGTAAAGCCAGACCTGTCCTCTTTCCCCGTATAATTGTTGCATTTTCTCTGAGGAAATAGATGGGGAAAGCAGGCAATAAAGTAGAGATGTCAAGGCATCTGTGAGAAGGAGTGAGGGAGAAGTAGAGGTCGCAGGGAAATGAGGGTGCCTCGAGAGGCAGGAATGGTTGGGGAGTGAGGGAGTCCAAGTTAGTGTTGAGTGACATTGGCGGTAGACACTTGTCTTTACCTGACAGTCCCAGAGAAGGGAGAGGGGAAACTTGGGTCATAACACTGAGTTCGGGTGAGGTGATAAGATAGCTCAGGGGATCTAGAGCTGGAAGGAATCATAGAGGGCATCTAGACCATTCCTCATTTTACATGCAAGAAATGAAAGAGTGCTTAAGTGACTTGCCGCAGGCCATCCATGTATTTGGCCCTGTGCCTGACCAGAGTGATGTGGGGCTTATGATGGTTTCCTTGAGGTAACCGAGTGGTGGTGGTCTCTCCTGCAGGCGGCCCCGCAGAGCGGGCAGGGCTGCAGCAGCTAGACACGGTGCTACAGTTGAACGAGCAGCCTGTGGAGCACTGGAAATGTGTGGAGCTGGCACATGAGATCAGGTGACTGGGGGGCAAGGGGACAGGGCCCCCCCAGGTTCACAGAACCTCTCCTTTGCTGAACCCTTTACGCTCTCTGAAGTTGCCATATCTTCCCAACCCCACTACCTTCCACTGTGCCCCCAAATGCTTCTGCACCTCCATTTGGGTTATCAGCAAACCTCTCCAAAGCTAATTGGTGTCTTCTCTCTCTCCCTTGTCTCCTTAACACTCTTTTAGGAACTGCCCTGGTGAGATCATCTTGCTGGTGTGGCGCATTATCCCTCAGATCAAACCTGGGCCCGATGGTGGTGTCCTACGCAGGGCCTCCTGCAAGTCAGCCCATGACCTCCAGTCCCCCCCAAATAAACGGGAGAAGAACAGCATCCTGGGTACCAGGCCTGAGCAGCGCCGCAGCTGTCACCTGGTGTGTGACAGCTCTGATGGGCTACTTGTGGGTGGCTGGGAGCGCTACAGTGAAATGGGGAAACGGACCCAGCACACTTTGCCCCCGTTGTCCCGGGCTTCAGCTCCCACTGACCCCAACTACATCATCTTGGCTCCTTTGAACCCCGGGAGCCAGGTGAGAATTTGTACTCTGCTTCTGTGATTATGAGGGCGGGAAGAAGTGTCTGAAGACGTGTGTCTTTTACCTGATGGGGATGTTATGTCCCAGAGAACAGCTCAGCTGTGGAGTTTGTGCAAGGTTATGGGGTAGATCTAGAGCTGGAAGGGGCCCCAGAGGGCATCTAGACTAATTCTTCATCTTACATGCAGGAAATTGAGGCTCAGGATGTGTAAGTGACTTGCTGCAGACCACATAGGTACCTAGAGGCAGGATTTGAACCCTGGCCCTCTGTTCTGGAGTCAGTGTTCTCTCCCTATTCCATGGTTATGTAATGAGATCTACCTGGGATCCCAACTCATGATTATTTGACCTATCTCACTTCTCTTCCCTTGACCGAGTCATTTGGTATTTTAGTGGGGTGTCTTTTTTTCTTTGAAGCTTTTACCCTAGGCTACGGAATCTCCTCTCAAGACCCTTGCCACTTTTCTCTTCATTCCTTAATTTATTCCACAGACATTTATTAAGTGCCTATTGTGTGCAGATAGTTGTGTTAAGTTCTAGCTTAGAAAAGACTTGGGTTCCTATTCTTGTGAAATTTAGAATTTAATAGATACATAGATAATTATAATACATATTACATGATAAGTGAGTTAGACAAATACAATGCAAAGTGCTATGTAGGGTCTATGGAGGAAGGTCTTTACTGACTGAAGGCATCCAAGGAGGTCCACCTAGATGCGATAGCATCTGGTTTGTGCTTAAAAGGATGGGTAGGAATTCAATAGGTGAGGAGGGGGGAAAGTGTGAACCAAGGCATGGAAGCTGGAGGGCCGGGAGAATGTTAAAGGGCAGTAGTGTCTGGCTCTAACTGATAGTACTTGGAAGGGAATCATATGAGAGAATGCTGGAAAGGCAGCAAGGTGGGTGACAAATGGTGTAGGGTCTTCGATGTCTGGCTAAAGAGTTTGAATTTTACTCAGCTAACAATAGTCCCTGAAGCCTTGTTTCTTTTTTAAAGCCCCAAAGTGCCATGATCCTATGCATAAGAAAGATTTCCTGGCAGTGATATGAAGAACAGAAGGGAGTAGTCAGGGTTGGGGTGGGTGGAAAGAAAACTGGGAGTTCAGAACACCTGTGGGGGCAGCCAGGTGGTGCAGTAGATAGAACACCGGCCCTGAAGTCAGGAAGACCCGAATTCAAATCTGGCCTCAGACCAAACACTTGACACTTACTAGCTGTGTGACCCTGGGCAAGTCACTTCACCTCAATTGCCTGGAAAAAAAAAAGGGAACACCTGTGAAAAGTGATTGCAGTAGGCCAGAGAAAGTGATGTTGAAGGCTGGGGGAAGAGAGGAGAGAAGGGATGGAGAAGATGTTGGAGTGAAGTAGACCCAAGAGGGACTTGCTTCAGTAGTTAAGCTAATGGTTCTGTGCTTTGTTTTGCTTTCCCCCCATAGCTTCTGAGGCCCTTGTATCAAGAGGACAGCATCCCAGAGGGTAAGTGTTGTCTGCCAATTTCTACCACCATAAAGGTTCTGGGGTTAGTCACTTCCCCTCTATGATTCTTAGGTTCCAGTTCATTATGGTGTGGAGAGCAAAATCATCTGGGACCTTCCCTTCTCTTACACCAACCTCTAATGGACCAACCATGGGTGAATGAAGGTAACAAAAGCATTGTCCAGGCAGTTACTAAATTTCTGTTGTTTCTTTGTAAATTCTCCCCGTCATATCGAAACAGACATCTCCACACATACACATGGTTTTTTTCTCCTCAAACAGAGGAGGCTTCCACCTCAACCCTTTCTTGGAGCAGCAGTTAAGATGACAGCAAGGGTGAGCCTCTCAAGAGGTTGCATCTTCAAGGTTTGAAATATTGCAGATTGAAGGCATTTGCTCTCCTTCATATCAGATCGCTCTTTTACTACCTTTGGGTGCTGTTGTGCTCTACAGTGTCAAACACTTTGCATCTCTGCTCTGTGTAGTGAGTGGAGAACCAGGACTATGCTGGAGTGATTGAAGTCTTGGATTTAGTGCTGGTTTGTTGAAGCAGCTGCTTCCGGGAAGCCGGGAGTCACTCCCAGTTAGTGTCTTCAAGTTCGGTCTCTGGAACTGTTGATTTCTCAAGTGCCATTTGCCTGGCCATTGTTGAGTGTGCAGGTCCCTCTGAGAAGTGTTGGAGTCTTTCTGTTTCCATGTGAACAAGCACAGGGCAAGAACAGAGAGTGTCAGGCTGATCCCAGGACTAGAGGCTGCTTCAGGGAACTGGTCAAATTAATGGCTTCAGTTGGAGCTGGGTGAACTCCCATGACTCTGCAGGTCATGACATGGCAAGGTACTGTGGTGTGGATAGAGCACCAGAGGAGGAGGGAGACACCTGGGTTTAGCTCTGACTCTGTTGCTAAGAAGCAATATGGCCTTCTAGAAGCTGCTATAATATCTCTGGGCTTCCATTTCCCTGTTGCAGAGGTTGGGCTAGGTGATCGCTAAAGGTCCCTTCCAGCTCTGACTTTATGAGGTTCTTTGATGAAAACAGTGCGCACAGCTTGACCTCAGATTTCCCCATAACTGCCTAGATTCTGCAACCCCTGATGAGGTTTGCTTTTGGTTAGGGAATGTCAAGGGGCCTTGATGGATACTTGGCTCTTTTTCCTGCTTACTCAGCAGACTTCATTCCCAACTCAAGAAAATATGGGTCCTTTCCATACTGGTGAAGAGGAGTCTGGTTCTTCTCAAGGTTATTCTAATCTCCTGAAACTGGGAGGAAGTAAGAGAGCAGATCGTTGAGCCCTCTCTCAGACTCTTCTTTGTGCTTAATATAGCAAGAATATGAGCAGAGTGTGTGTGTGTGTGTGTGTGTGTGTGTGTGTATGCATGCTGCTGACAGGAACTTGACAGAGAAGGTGAACCATGTGGTCCCTTATCCAGGTCTCCAGTGGGTTAGGTATTACAGTAACTATCAAGCCCCTTCTGGCCAACTTCAGGAAGTCAGGAAGCAGAGCAGAAATCTATCTGCTTCTTTGCTAGTTACTCTTTCTGACTTCTAGTCTTGCATTCTCTCTATTACACCGTGCTGCCTCTTACCTCAAGTTCGAAGTCCTGTTGTGATATGTCGTGCTGGGAAATCACATCATCTCTGCAAAGAGATTGTTTGACAAGCACTTTTAAGAGAGTAATTATCTTTCGCTTTTCCTGGGTGTTTGGCTACTAGCTGAGGATCTTTTAAAATTGTGCTGTCTGTTCCCCACCATAGAAATAGAACTAGGGCCTCCTGGCATCATGTTACTTACTGAGCTGGAGCCAAAGGGACAAATTTGGACTTGTTTTCTGTGTTCTGAAAACAATTGCTTTTTCCAGGAAGTCTAGGATATCAGTTCTTATATGGTGGAGAATTTGGCTAAGCTCAGGTCCAGGGATTCCAGCAGGGGTCATTGACTTATAGCCTCTTGTGTCTTTGGGAGAGAAAGTTGGCCTTTCCTTATATTGCTTTGGGAAGGGAGTCCTTAGATACAGTAGAAAGTACCTGGAATTTGGAGATAATCCCTACAAAATGAGCAGAGTGCCTAACTTCTTGGTTTGAAATGTTGAAGGCTTCTCAGAATGACCTTTGTCCTTCTTCAGAGCTGCCTTTGTCTTGTCTGTCACTGTTACTTGTCTTTTTCTCTCCCATGTATAAAATGAGGACAGTACTTCTTTCTAGATAACAGTTGGAAAATCTTTTCCAACTTATGGATGAAAGGTGTTAGGTCAATACAGAGTTGATCTCTAGTCTGCTATCAGCTGGTATTGTTCTATTCTTTTTCTTCTCCTGTCACCATCTGTTGAAAGACCCAATCAGTGAGGGCAGGAACCAGCTTCTGAACTCAAACCCCATAGGAGACCAAATGGGAAGAGTCCAGTTTGATTTGGTTCAGTTCAGAAAGCAAAAACTACCTTGGCTCACAGGGCATGAAAATTGGTAATAGTAGCCATTGTCTGCCCTTGGGCCACTTCCTTCTAAGATGGTGCCACTGTGCGCCTGAATCTAAGAGAAGTGAATTTTTGCTGGGTGTAGGAGGAGTAAAATATATATTTTGAAATGAAGAGATTAAAAAGTTTTGAGTAGCAAATTCAGTTCATCAGAAATTCAAATACCTAATATGTACAAAGCCCATGCTAGGCCCTGGGATGAAGCAGTCTCTTCCTTCAAGGAGCTTACATTCTACCAGAAAGGGAAAAGGATCTTGGTTGGGAGTTGAACAAAGCAAGAGAAGAGTTGTCTTCTCCCATCAGCAAAATAAGTTCTTTGTGCTGTGGTAGTGACTAATGCGATGCTTGTCTTGTGGCTTGTTGATGTGAGATAGAGGTGGGGCAGTTGCTGAAGAGCTCCAGAGTAAGATCCCCATTGCTCAGAGACATTTTCCCACCAACCTTTCCTAGCCACATAAATCTCTTTAGGAGACTGCCAACATCCAGCTCACCATGATTTGATTCCCTCCTGAAGATAAGGTACCTAATTAACTGCAAAATAATAAATATGATTCAAGTATTGGGGAGGAAGCTATCTATATGTTGAATTGCAATTGAGATGAGGACTCCTGGGTTCTAGTTCTGGTTTGGCTATTAGCTGACAACTTGGTGGCCACAGCTAGGTTACTTCCTTTCCCTGGCTTGCCTGGAAAATGAAACACAATCCTTGCCTTGGGAATAATGCTAAGTATCATAGAAGAATGGAAATAATTTATTGATATTGTTGCTAGTGGCTGAAGCAAAAGCCCCTGGATCTTAACTCTTATTGCTAGGAGCAGACTGTGATTGTTTGATAGTTCATTCACATTCACTCTGAAACTGGGGGTTGGAGTGGGACAGGAATCCCAAATCTTCTGGCCAGGTCAGCCCATGGTTAGATGAGAAGTATAGTGGACAGTCCAGGGCACTGGACTAGGAAATCCCAAATCCACCACTAAGTTGTGTATGATGTTGGACAAGTTGATTTATATCCTTTGGCCACAGTTTCTTCTGAAAAGTGAGAGAAGCTGGACTAGATAATCTTTAAGATCCTTTTTAGCTTTTGTCAGCGTCTAATATGTTGGAAAGGTTTTAGGTACAGAATGAATCTGAGTATTTGAGGACTAATTTGGCTTTGTGCACAGAGGCTTGTCACTAGAAGGCTGATCACAAAGTGATGACTTCTTTGGACCTGGCAGTACATGAAACAAAATAAGAAATGAACCTCAGTCATGTGTGGCTTCCTTGTGCTCCTGTGGGAAAGGGGTGGAATGGTGGAAAAGAAAGCAGAGAGTACTGAGAATCACATAGTTTTTAGACTGCTTGTAAATGTCTTAACAGGAGGTACCTTAAATGTGATATTTTTGTTTAGTGACATCTGTTGCAGAGGGTGAAGGCAAAGAGAAATCTATGAAGAACTTGATAAGATCACTTAACAGCTTGGTAAATCAAGCCAATATATACGTTGATACTCAGAGACCTTAATATGAAGGTGGGCACAGGGAGAGAATGGTGAAAGGTATGTTGGAAAACATAGTAGAGGTTTGGAAAAAAAAATAAGAGGCCAAAGGATTGTAGAAATACTTAGAGGCTTCATAACTTTGTCTAATTAATTCTTTCTTTTAGAAGAGACTTGGAAGGTGCTGGACCTTAATGAACCCAAAGCAGTATGGCAAAAGTGAAACTGATTCCATCTTAACAGATAGAAAATGATGAGTTACTGATAAGCAAGCCGTATAAAAAATAAGTCTTCTGTATTCAATCATATCATCAACTAATTAGAGTAAAGGGCAAAATCAGCATCAAACTTTACAAACTTATTTGTAAAACACTATAGAAGTAGATGGTAGAAGATTATAAGCATTATCTTCTTATGAACAGCAAAAAGCAGTGGAAACAAAAACAGATTCATAGAAAAGTTGGCTTGAAATCCAACTGAGCCACATCATTGGAAGAGCATTCGTAGATGAAATTGGCAGGAGAATAATAAATGGAACAAAGTTGTCAGTGTTTCTAAAACAATCTGTTTTCTCAGCAGTTACAGTAGAGCTATCAGAACACCTTAGTTCTTAATGTAGCTTACAAGAAAGTAGAAAGTAGGGGGCAGCTGGATGTTGCAGTGGATAGAGCACCAGCCCTGGAGTCAGGAGGACCTGAGTTCAAATGTGACCTCAGACTCATAATACTTCCTATCCATGTGACTCTGGGCAAGTCACTTAACCCCAATGGCCTCACTTAAAAAAAAAAAGTAGATGAAGTAGATGAAGTTGGGAAGAGCAGTGAGTGAGAAGTGGGACCAGCCTAAGTACACACTAAAGAAATCTGGGCCAGAGGTGCTACAGTTTTTTTTTTAATGAATTTTTTTTTTTTTAGTTTTCAACATTCACTTCCATAAGATTTTGAGTTTTAAATTTTTTTCCCCTTCCTCCTTTTCCGCCTCCCCAAGATGATGTTCGATCTGATATAGGCTCTACATATATATTCATATTAAACTTATTTTCACAGTCATATTG